ACATTGTTTAAAAGAAGTGCGTGCGCGGCTAATGATTATTGATAATGATACCCAACTTAGTGAGTCAACTGCAAGAAGATGGATTGCATGGTTGTCAGCAAAATGGACAGACCAACATGCAAATTACACACTGGAGATGCCAAAATTACACAATTACAATTTAAATATCTGGGTAGTATTTTAACAGCGGACAGAAAATGCGACATTGAAATCCGAAGGCGTATTGGGATAGCCAAAGATACATCCCAGAAGTTAAGCAAAGTATTAAGAAACTGAAAAATTCTGTTAGAAACAAAGAAAAGAGTATTGAAATTTTATGTAATATCAGTCCAGCTATATGGCGGTGAAAGCTGGACTAGTAAGAGAAGGAAGAGAAATGTGGTTCTACAGAAGGATGCTGAGGATACCATGGACCGAACATGTGAGCAACGACGCAGTTTTAGAGAAAATGGAAACAAAAAAGGCACTTAACACCAGCAAGAGACAGTTGAAATTTTTAGCGTACATGATTAGGAACGAGGGCTTGGAAAATTTGAAACTCACAAGACAGATTGAAGGCAAGAGAAACAGAAGAAAACAACGCATAACCTACCTAGTATGCTTAGTGTAAATTGATGTGCAGCAAGGTTTAGGGAGATAACAAAAAAAGACAATATTTGTTAAGAGCTATAAAGGATAGGTCATTGTGAAGGGCCATGAATAGACGTGGCTTATAGACGAAGTTTCAGTTGGCATTGACGGTAGACCCAGAAAGAAAACTCAAAGAACAAGGTAGTCGATGATATCGAGAATAAAGGACTAAACATGAATTATGTGAAGACAGAATGCAAGATTGTCAGCAAAAGGGACAAATCCACATTTGGTTTACTTATCGGGGACGTAAAAAAAAAGAAAAGAATGGAAATGTAAATATTAGGTTGGTGCAAAAATAATGACGTAATAATATCGTTTATTTAACGTATTTTTTAACGTCAAAAAACGACATTATTACGTCATTATTTTTGCACCAACCTAATATTTGTGTAGAATCGTAACAGACAGCATAAGGTGTGACACGGAAATCTAAAGCAATGTATGTTTAGCGAAGGATGCTTTTCATGAACTGAGTAAAGTATCACCGAATATCCTTAGAGATTAAAAAAAACTTTCTGAATTTCGTTGTAAAGTCTAATTCGCTATATAGGAATGAATATTGAGAAATGTTCTCATAGATGAAGAAAAGAATAAATGGATTGCAGACAAAACATTACGTCTTTGGATCAGCCCTGATCGCAGTACAAAGAGAGGTAGTATAAAAACAGGAATTACTTTAGCACCCCCAAAAAAAAACCCAACAAAAACAAATAACAGACCCCCAAAAAAAAAACCAAACAAACAGAAAGAAGTGGAGAGCCATGATCACTGCTATTCCCACAAAAGAAAAATGTCCGAAACCAAGTGAATGCCGTGGGGAACTTGTCAAACTGAGATTCTTAAACGGTTTTATCAGGCTTTTGGTTGACGTTTTTCTAAGTCGAACACAGGAAGATGTGGAGTGCCATCGCTGTATAAGAGTAAGTATCGTTGCCGATACAGTGAGTAACACAGGCGATTCCATTATTAATTAGATCACGTGATCATGAACGATTTGGTTTGGTTTGTTTCGATTTACGGCATATCAAGCTCAGTGGGTTATTTAATGCCGACAAAATTTTTATTGCTGCTAATATTTTTAGTCAAAAATCTATTTCTGGTAATATTTTTCCTTTGAAAAATCTATTTCTGGTAATATTTTTTCTTCAAAAAATCTATTTCTGGTAATATTTTTCCTTCAAAAATGTATTGCTGGTAATAATTCTTTCCGCAAAGTATTGCTGGTAATATTGTTTTTTTTCAAAAATGTATTGCTGGTAATAGTTTTTCTTACAAAAAATTATAGCTGGTAATAACTTTTTACAAAGTATTTCTGGTATTAAAACCTATTTTTACACTTTCATAGTGTTTTTACCCCAGTTTTGGGGTTAACTATTTGCCTATAGCTGGAACCCTAACAGGTGCCACCACCCCGGGTCAGGGTGGACGCTCGTCAAAACTTCTTGATCAGAGTCAAAACCTCTTGATCGGAGGCCTTGCTGCTGGGCGTAGTTTATCGTCTTACCCAGGACGGTGATCATGAAGGAAGTGAATAAATAGGAAGCAGCGTGATGACTATGTGATCACCGTTCGCTCTTCTTGTCTATCCACTATTGCTGTACGTTCACTCTTTCTACTCTATTACTATACAGATTACGATTCTCTTCTGATCATTATACTATTTGACGATTACTACTTGAACAAGTATTACTAGTGCAGATATTATTAGAAGTTGTTACTACTAGTACCGGCGTCTACGAAATCTCGAATATAACGAGCATTTTTGGAAATGATTACGAGCTTTCGCTTGACATAGCAAAAGTGACAAGCGAAGCCGTCCAACATCATAAAAGCCATGATTACTGAAGTCCTAAACGGACATGGTACAAGGTGACAGAGATCTGAAAGTTTCTTGATTGTCTTTATAGTGATTGTATTGTTCAAAGGAAGTGCGTGCGCGGCTAATGATATTGATAATGATACCCAACTTACTGAGTCAATCTGCCAATATGTATTCCCACGTTTAGACATATTAATTATTATACTGTTTTGTAAAGCTGTGTTGGAACGGCTCTGTGAACTTTACGATGACTGATAAATTAGATGTATACAATGTTTTTTTTTTTCCACAAATCGGAATCTTTGAAATAATTTATCAGGCTTTTGCTGGTCTTTTAAATGTTGAACGCATGTATGAAGAGCGATATATTTCAAAACCGATCGACTATCGATCCCAGATGATGAGCGTTTGTTGGCGGACAATCGACGGCAGAAAACCAGAGAATATGGAAAAGGTCGCTGCGTGCCTTACCAAGGAGACTATTTTTTATGAGACTATGGCCAAATTGAAGTAATATATAAAATATATTATTTACTGGAATGACGGTAAATATTTTTTTATGTTTCTGATTTAGCGTGTAAAAAAATGGGTCGACTTATTAAAAATATGCGGTACATAACACGGTAAGATTATTCTTCGGATATTTACTATGTATACCCCCCCACCAAAAAAAAATAAGGGTACCCCAGAAAAATATGCTTCTATGGAATCAGTATTTGATCAACAAACCTTTGAATGCGGATAGAATCAGTAATGTAACAGTTAAAGTAGACTTTAGCCTATAAGAACTGGCCAATCAAGCACGGTGGTGGGTGGTGATCTAAAATAAAGTCGTGGAGAGCCATGATCACCCCCATTCTCACAATAGAAAAATGGCGCAAACCAAGTGAATGTTGTGGCAAACTCGTCAAACTGAGACACTTGAAATGTTTTATCAGGCTTTAGGTTGACGTTTTTCTAAGTCGAACACAGGAAGACGTGGAGTACCATGATCACTCAAGTCCTAAACAGACACGGTACAGAGTGAGAGAGATATGAAAGTTCCTTGACTGTCCGTATAGTGATGGTATTTTTCAAAAGAAGTATCCCAGAAAAGTATGGTTCTATGGAATCAGTATTTGATCAACAAAACAGAAAGGCAGATCGAGTCAGCAACTAAACAGTTAAAATAGAATTTAGCCTATAAACACCGGCCAATTAAGCAGGGTGATGGTCTAAAATAACCAAAGAAACTCAGTACAAACATATTTGGATTCTGCTTTAGGCTTTTAAAATGTGGTCCGAATATATGTACATGACCCGATCAACCAGCGATCCAGTTAACAAAAATCAGCTATTTGCTTTACACGCTGAATGCTATGAAAATCAAACCTTGGAATATCAATATGAATTGCTCACAGGAGATGATTTCACCTCCTTTTGAAAAGAAGCCCCTAATATCAACACGGGTCGTTAACGACTATTTCCTTTCTGAGTTTTATTGCCTGGAAGCTCTCTTTGAATTCGTTCGATTCCCAAACACTGGCCGATTATTTTTTTTTTTTAAAAAGAATTCACTCGATTTCTTTTTTACTTTATGCAATGCCGTTTCTCTCAAAGGAGCACAAGTAGCATCTTTCCCTTTTAGATAAACCTGCACGCTCATATTTTTTCATGTTTTCCAAGAAAAAATATTGATTGCCTGGAATATTATTCCGTGTCCAAGTAATATAATCCCCCTTCTCTCCGAGTCTCATTAATTTCTTTCTTTCTTTCTATTTCATTCTGTTCATATCTATCTATCTATCTATCTATCTATCTATCTATCTATCTATCTATCCTGCTAATTTTCTTTCTCTCTATCTATCTATACACTTTACTCATTGTCTATCTGCTCACTTTCTATCTATCTATCTATCTATCTATCTATCTATCTATCTATCTATCTATCATTAGTCCTGGATATGGCGATAAACTTCATCCGTGAGCAAGGCCTCTGATCGGAACATTGGAGTTTTAAGGCGCAAATTAATTACAGTTGTTCTCATGTTCACCCTGACCCGGGGTGGTAGCACCTGTTAGGGTCACTTCTTTGGGCAAATATTCCACCCACCCACGAAAAAATAAAACACTATGAAAATACATAACTACATGTCTATAATAAAAATAACAGCAATATGTTTTTATATTAAAATTACCAGCAATACTTTTTATAGTAAAATTACCAACAATACGTTTTATCTCTAGCTGTAGGCATACGATGGCGCTCAAAATATATTTAGTCGAAGCCATGAGAGTGCGTAGAAATATTTGGCCTTAAATAATCCAGAGAGGTGCTGATATGATGCTAAATAAAATCAACTAAACAAGCAAATCTGAATATTTAACGTGCGAAATTCATTATTTAGTAGCGAGATTTAATTAGGCAAGATCCGAAGATTTTTCATCATACTGCAAATGTATATCGGAGGTTTATTTATATACACTTATTGTTTAATTTCACAAGCATCAAATTTACCTTGGTTTACAAGAATATGTTGATTATATTTGCATTTAATTTTGGTACTTTATGTTACGTTATTTAAGGTCAACTCATATAATATACGCAATATATATACTCTGCTCATTATCTATCTATCTATCTATCTATCTATCTATCTATCTATCTATCTATCTATCTATCTATCTATCTATCCACTCTTCATTATCTATCTATCTATCTATCTATCTATCTATCTATCTATCCACTCTGCTCATTATCTATCTATCTATCTATCTATCTATCTATCTATCTATCTATCTATCTATCTATCTATCTATCTATGTGGATAGCCAGAAAAGTTCATAAGCTGACACTGAAGGGGTGAGACTATAGTTGTGAAATCTTGCATGAATTAAAACTCTTCTTATTGATAACTGCATTGTATCTTTCCAGGTAAGCTGACGCCTGCTTACACAAAGACGACAGATCATTATGTTGGTAAAAAGAGCCATCAACGGCAGATATGACATCATCATAACTGCGATACTGTTCCTAGCCAAGTGTTTTTTTCTGGTAGTCGAGTCAGAAGAATAGAATATTTAGATCTTGGTATTAAATAACCCACAGATGTCGATATGCCGTCAAACAAAATAAACCTAGCCAAACTAATCAATTTCGAAAGACATGTGAGTAAATTGCAAGGTACTCATGGGGAAAAACTACCTGCATACGTATTTACACAAATACTCTTAGTATGTGAGCTGTAGAAAAAGTTTTTTCCCCCAGTTGCAATTTCCCCATTATGGGCATTATTATATACATGATATAACACCTTATTTCACGGATGGAACGGAATAGTTGAAAGGAAAGAAATAACAAACATGCTTTGTTCTCAAAGAGAGTTTTATACCGCTAAGTCATACACAAAATTATATTTACATCTGTACCACGCAAAGAAACTATAACATATATCTACACAACAAGCGGTGTGAAAATTAAACGAAAAGATATAGTCTTACTTATAATAATTCCCAACGGAAATTGATCTGCCGGAGATACTTCTATGTTTCTGGAGAATCAATATTTAGGATTTCAGATTCGAGCGGGTCGGATGAGCCAGTTCAAAGACACCATAACGCACAGCTGTCATTGAAACCAAGGACTTGATTACTGGAACATTGTCCTGATGAAATAAAACTCCTTTTGTCAGTTTTTCTGGACGTTTGGTTTTCATAGCCTTTCGTAAATGCATCAGCAAAAGTTGACATAGTACTTTCCATTGATAGTGTGGCCTTTTGTATGCCAAAAAACTGAGGCCATCACCTTCCATGCAGATGAAATGACCTTGGTCTTCTTTGGAGCAGGTGAGGATGACTATATCCATATATATATAGTCAGTCTCCTGTCATCTATCACCATGTGATTAACACAATCAATGTTTACCTCAGTGGTAGCAGTTGGAGGACTTCTAGCTCTTGCGTCACTTTCAAGACTCTCTGTTCCTCTCCTAAATTCAACTGCCTACTTTTGCACTGCTGATAAAGCTGGAGTGTCATCCCCTAATGTAACAACCATGTCAACATGAATGTTCTTGGAGTCTAAACCCTTTTTCTGCATGTACTTGATAATACCACAATGTCAAATTTTGTCCATTTTTAACAGAGGTCTCTACTAGTTACTTTTGAAGTCTTCTTTGAACAGTCTAATGCCCGTTTATCTGGAAATAAACAATTTAGTTATTAATAAGAAGACTTGAAATTAATGCTTCTAATGTATATTAAGTCTCTTGTTTTCAACATGTAGGTGCTGGAAACTTTTGCACACATCTAATATTAACAAAGGTTACCTGTCATTCTGATAAACAACATAATAATATATCTTTTTTTGTCTGGTTTTTATTGTACAGGTACTGCATTCATATGTCTAATGCTGAAGCTTTTGATCTATGAGGGACGACTGAAAAATTCATAGGCTGACTAAGATGGAATGTGATAAGATGAGGTTTAATTTTCAACATAGCCCCCCCTTGCAGTCCACACACTACTTCCATTGGTGTTGCAGTGCTTGGATCCCATTGATGAAGAAGCTTTCATTCATTGTTGGTCAAAAAAGTCATCAATGGTAGATATGACATCATCATCACTGTGTAACTGTTTCCAGCCAAGTATTTTTCATGTTGAGGACAGTCAGATGGATCCAAATCAGGAGAATACGGATGGTGATCAGTTCAAAACTAGTCATGCACAGCAACCATTGAAACCAAGTACTTATGTGCCGGAACATTGTCCTGATGAAACAAAACTCCTTTCATCAGTTTTTCTGGACGTTTGGTCTTGATAGTATTTTATAACTGCTTCAGTAATTTGGCATAGTGCTCTACATTGATGGTGTGGCCATTTTGATATATATTCAATATACACAATGTCTTTTGCATCTCAAAAGACTAAGGCCATTATGTTCTCTGCAGATGAAACAACATTGGCCTTCTTTGCTGCAATTGAGAAGGGGATGTTTCCATTGCAGAGATTGTCTCTGGCTCAAAGGGGTGAACTAATTATTCATCCTGGGTTAGTTTTGTGACCAAGTAAATGGTTAAGTAATAACAAAAACCAGGTTTGCATTTATATCGTATATTAAACAGTAAGTACACCAGAAGAGTATTACACGACTAGTGAGAGTGTAACGAATGAACTAGCGCCCAATCTATTCACAGTTCACTGTACACTGTTCCCCGAACCTTCTCTCTTACTAAACATATAGTAGGCGGAAGAGTCTAACGTGCTTAGAGGGAGAACACCACAACCGTTAGTTAACGTTCAATGAAACCAACTGGATCTGTTTCAAATAATATCAAATTTTACCGTGTTGGGATCAGCCTGTGTACTTTTCATCAGGTATCAGAAGACGTAGCACTCACCCAGCAGAAAACTTTGTCATGCCATGTTCATTGGATAGAATATTCACAAACGTGTCACGGGATATGCTGATAGAATTGGCTATTTGATTTATAGTCATCCATCACCATGTGGTGAACATGACCAATGTTTTCCTCTGTGGGATAGGTTGCAGGACGTCCAAACCTTCATTGAACTGCCCACACTTGCACTGGAGCGCCATCCGCTAATGTAGTAACCATGTCAGCATGAATATCCTTGGGGGATAAACCACTTTTCTGCAGGCAGATTGTAACACCACGATGCTAAATTTTGTCCATTTTCAAGAAAAGTTGTTACTAGTTACTTTTGAAGTATTCATTGCAGAGTCAGATGTCAGTTTACCTAGAAAGAAACAATGCAGCTATTAATATAAAGAGTTGAAATTAATGCATGCAAGATTTCATAGCTCTAGAATGACTCCTTCATAGTCAGCCTATGAACTTTTCGGTCTACCATCCTGAATCTGCTTATGGATTAGGAGTTCGAGATCATGGGATCTAATCATAATTGATTATCATAATTAATTAAATCTAATTAAGACGTCCTGATCCGTTATAATTATATAGAAAGATACACAACATGACTTTGTATTACTGTATTGCTTGTTGATCTATTGTTTTTTGTATTTAGCCGAGCTCCACACAAAGCGGGATGTGGCACAAGGCCATTTTAACGTGGGTCTTTCCGAGCATGTAGGCTCGGGCAAAAATTCCCCCGTATACACGGGGATGGGTAGCTGTCTACCTTTCCAAACGAGATACTGCCCTTCGACAAAGCCTCCTCTAGGTCCTCACTGCCCAAAAGCAGAGAGTTGGACAAGCAGTGCATCTCAAACTCAGAGGTTTGAATGTTCTCAATTTGGTAGGGGTAACAAGACTTTCTCACCACCTATATATATATATATATATATATATATATATATATATATATATATTAAAGTTTTTTGTGACGCGTTATGCCTCAATCTAGCCGAAATCATCTATATTCCTTTTCTTTTTCTCTCTTTTTTTGTCCCTGAATATCCCATACTGTGACGGTATAAAATCTACCAAGAATGATGATATATTGTAAGAGCCTGGACACAAATTTACCATGTCTGAACTCTCAATCAAGGCACTTTCCAGACATTTTTGTCTTCGTGGATTATTTTCTCTTTTAATCAAAATAGCATCCCTTATCTCTTTAAATCAAAATAGCATCCCTTATCTCTTTAAATCAAAATAGCATCCCTTATCTCTTTAAATCAAAATAGCATCCCTTATCTCTTTAAATCAAAATAGCATCCCTTATCTCTTTTAATCAAAATAGCATCCCTTATCTCTTTAAATCAAAATAGCATCCCTTATCTCTTTTAATCAAAATAGCATTTTAATCAAAATAAAATAGCATCCCTTATCTCTTTAAATCAAAATAGCATCCTTATCTCTTTAAATCAAAATAGCATCCCTTATCTCTTTTAAATCAAAATAGCATCCTTATCTCTTTAAATCAAAATAGCATCCCTTATCTCTTTTAATCAAAATAGCATCCTTATCCTTTAAATCAAATCTTTTAATCAAAATAGCATCCCTTATCTCTTTTAAATCAAAATAGCATCCCTTATCTCTTTAAATCAAAATAGCATCCCTTATCTCTTTAAATCAAAATAGCATCCCTTATCTCTTTAAATCAAAATAGCATCCCTTATCTCAAAATTTTAAATCAAAATAGCATCCCTTATCTCTTTAAATCAAAATAGCATCCCTTATCTCTTTTCAAAAATCCCTTATCTCTTTAAATCAAAATAGCATCCCTTATCTCTTTTAATCAAAATAGCATCCCTTATCTCTTTTAATCAAAATAGCATCCCTTATCTCTTTTAATCAAAATAGCATCCCTTATCTCTTTAAATCAAAATAGCATCCCTTATCTCTTTAAATCAAAATAGCATCCCTTATCTCTTTTAATCAAAATAGCATCCCTTATCTCTTTTAATCAAAATAGCATCCCTTTAAATCAAAATATCTCTTTTAAATCAAAATAGCATCCCTTATCTCTTTAAATCAAAATAGCATCCTTATCTCTTTAAATCAAAATAGCATCCCTTATCTCTTTAAATCAAAATAGCATCCCTTATCTCTTTTAATCAAAATAGCATCCCTTATGTCAAAATTGTGGTCAGTTTTGATACGGTGAACAGCCAATGCGTTTTCTATGTTATTTAAAACCTTTCCAGTTTGTTGTATTTTTCTAAATACAGTTTGCTGATATATAAAATTATACAAAATCACACACACACACACACACACACACACACACACACACACACACACATATATATATATATATATATATATATATATATATATATATATATATATATTACTACGGCCACTTACGTTTAAAAAGTTAAAATATAAAAACAACTCGTCGTCTAAAAGACGCCCAGGTTTACCATTTCACAGAGGGAGAATTCAGTGCATAGTCAAATACACTGTTTCGGAATGACCAATGACAAATGCCAATATACAAAATAACAAGATTTAATTACAACTGGATGTCACATAAAAAACAAAAAAACATTTAGATATGAGAATGCATGGAAAGATGTGTGCTATACATTTCTGCGTGGAAAGATGCATGTGTTATTTTATGAGGGCAAAAGTTGAAACAAAAACCTTGCTTCCGTTTTTCTTCTGACATAAGATTAAAATTTTCTTTTTTCTCTCTCTTTCTCTTATTATTCTCTTTGCCTCATTTAATTTCAATCCATTTCCTTCGCTCAAGTAGCGGTGTCCTTTGATCTATTTCTCTTACTTCAACGTTGTGTTCATTATTTGGTCATTTAGTTTCTGCGCTACAGAAATCGTACATTTGGTTATGAAGACTCAGTAAGTCATAGATTTAGCTGTGCAGAAATAATGTTTCGGGTTCCTTTGCTCAATTAATTATACATCACATATGCGTTTCTTAGGTGATGGTCACGTTTCGCCATTCACCTATGCCTTAATGTAAGCTGCATATTGTTAAGTTAAATTGGAGTTCGTCTCGTCGTGTGATCTCTCTTGCTTGACTGTAAAGGACTGAAAGGGCTGTTCGTACATAAACGCGTCGCACTGAAGTACAATTTGCTTTTTTTGACGGCTTCATAAAAGTTTTTTTTTGTCTTGTGATTGAGTTGAGCTTTTAAACCCTTTATTGGACCATGAAATTTAAAAAAAATTTATGCCAATTATTTAATGCGAAAATTTGTGGATGTCGACAAAAAACCTTTAACTCATGTCTATGGTTTAATAAATTTTCATTATTTAGAAACTTGATAATGTGTAGTTTTCCATGTAGGTATAAAGGGCATGGGTCATCCCAGGTTTTACAAGTTCTTGTTCTATTTATTATTTTCCATTTTACTTTTGGTGTTTTATTCATTTCTTTTAAATGCCAAAAGTATTTCTTTAGGGATGTCTGATTTCTATTTCTAATATTATTGAAGGAGCTTTTGTGTTGTCTCCATCTAATTTTAAATTCATATTTCTTAGAACCTGTGTATATCATTTCAGTGTTAGGACTCTCAATGGATGAGATAGTGCATTGGCATAAGACAGATTTTATGCGGCATTTATTTTTCAACGGACAGTCTTCAGGGATTCTACAATCACATAATTTTTCATTATTTTTGTCTAATTTTAGTTTAGGGTTTTTATTAATACTATTTTGGCATGTGTGTTTTACCAGGATTTTATTATTATGTTAGGATCAACTTTTGTATTGAACACTGTTTTTTAAAAATAAAAACAAAAATGCATGCATGTCTGTATGTATCAAATTTTAAAGACTGGGTTAAGAATTTGTTAGCACTAAGAAAAATTGAAGATCCCGACTGACGAACCCAAATGCTGACGTGAGGTTGAAGTGGATGAAGAAAGTCGGTATATAGTGGATACCGTTGCTTCCAAGACAATGTGAATACCTGGGCTAAAGGAAAAAGAGCACTCAGACCATGTGGCAGTATCAATGCAGACATGTCAGGGTTTATCTGCTAAGAGTGTTACTGTCAAACGCAGGCATAACCACTCACCAGCGTAGGCATACTGACAGGCTATCAAAAAAACTATGAGGTATTCTATGACAACAATCAGTTTTGGATGGGGAGGGAAAAAATTTACAAAAGTCGATCTGGCCTAACAAATCGGGATCATCTTGCGGCCCAATACTTTGATTGGTGTAGTTCATAATCTTGTCAAATAGCTGAATTCTTGATGCTTCGCTAGGGCTATCAAGGGTGTTTTTATCGTGATACCAACACTAAATGGATTGCCAACCAAGGCTCAGAGAGGCTCCATTCACCCTCCCCTAAGAGCAGGTTTGAATTCAGAGTTTTCCTTCTCCTAGACCAGTTGCCATCCAAGACTATAGAACCCTGTCTGTTCTGCTATTTACCCATAGCTGGAGGGAGAAGAAAGGGGATTCACACCTTTCCCAAGGGTGTTAGCACGTAAGTGAATGTAATGGATTCGACTGGAATTCGAACTCGGCTCTCCGATTCCTCAATCCAAGCCGCTATCCATTACTCCACCGTGACTGTGGAAATGTATATAAGTCACTTGCTGGTTTCAAAATCATTGTTGATCTCATCATCGACAATAACATAACATTAAAATATCAGCGATAGTCA